TGGGGAAGCGCGGCCAAGAGAGAGGAAAGTGGGGAGGCCGAATTGCTCAGAGGCAGGAACTGGGAAAAACCCTCATTCTCAGTTCCCATGTCTGGTGAATGGACGAGAATTGTACTTAATGCACACTGCTGTGGTGTGAGGCAGTGAGTTGGTGTTCCAGAAAATGTTCCTAAATAGTGCAGAGACTACATAGGAACCCCGCCCCCAGAGGCCTCCCTGACTGCCCCCCACTCAAAATGCCACCCTTTCCTGGAGACTCCCGGAGGCAGAGTGCCAGCCGTGGTCGTCCTGTTTTGGCAGTTGTCACCACGACTACAACTCCATCCCTTCCAGTCTCACCAGGGTGCAGTCAGCATGGCGGCGAATTCATCCCTGAGTTCATTTCTAAAACAAGGCCCAAGAAGACTTGGCAACTTGATACTAACGTTTATCTTTAAAATAAAATTTAAGATAGCAATGTTATGAAAATAAAGAGTAGCAGAGAGGGAACTAGAATCAGCTATTGGAGCAATCTGACAATAACTGTAAAGGTGGGGTTTTTTTAATGAATAGACCCTTCCTGCTCAAGATGCCCATTTCAAAGAATCTATGCCAAAGATTTAATAGCAGTTATTGGGCAAAGATCAATGTGCAAGCATTGCTTGTAGCTATAGCAAAGCACTGGAAATAACCCAAAGGGTCCATCAGTAGGGGATGGTGAAATAAATTATGGTCCAATCATACAGTGCAATGCTGAGCAATTTTTAAAAACAAATAAGTTGATTTGTATGTGCTGCGTTAAGAAAAAAATCTCTTGAGAAAGCAAGATGGAGAACAGGAAGTACAGTGTAACTCCATTTCTTTTAAAAATAATCTCCTGCCAAGAAGAGGAAAACCCAAAATGTGTGGCTAATTGCTTCCACGAATAGCTGCAGCCTTTGCCAGGAGACCAGAAGAACTGGATGGTGCCCAGTCACCACTAGTGAACATTTTGATCAGAGATTTTATAGGAGAATCCTGATTAAAATGAAGAAAATGCAGAACAAAATTTCAAAGTATTTTGGAATCTAGATTTTCTGTAGCCATAGAGGCTGGATGAGTCCCATAAATTGTGTCCAGGATCATCCTTAAACTTTAAACCCCCAAAAGTCCCCTGAAATCTTTTTCTTAACAGCTAAAAAATCAGGATACCTTTATTAATAAACAAAAATATCAAAACGGGAAGCTCTATTTTTCAACCGCCTACATCAGGTTTACACATGTCTGAAGGCAGTTTCCATCTTTCCAACCCTTCCCCCAAGCCTTGTGCCCTCTTTGATTGACACCACACCAAAGCAGTTGTGACACGCTCCAGGGGCTCAGTTGGGTTCTAGGTCAAGGTTCTTTCAGATTGGGAAACAAGCAAAAAGCTCTCTGCGGAAGAGCAGGGCCAGGGTAGACGGGTGAGGTTTCACAACACGATCCTAATAGGACAGCCCCTGCTCCCCTCGGAGACGAGCAGGTGCGCTGATGGTGCAAACTCTCCGTGGCACAGCTTTCCTGGTCCTTTATGCTCCAATGCGGTCGCCCTTGTCCTGTCACACCTTCCTCACTTTGTGTCCAGAAGATCTATCCAGGCTGCTCCGTGGAATCCCCAAAGCAGTCACCTTCACCTTCCGAGCCAACCTGGATTCCATTCAACTGGCCCAGCGGATCCGCTCAGAAGCCACTGTTTCGTTGTGACTTTGCTCTCAGGATCAATTTGGTAAATCCAAGAGTCACCCTGGTTGCAATTTGTTCCATAAAATTGTCTTCATTGGCTTCCATCTTGTTGGAAAGACTGATGGAACTGTGATCAGCTCTGTGACCTAGCTGCTCCTTGCGGAAGGTTTTCGGCACCCATGCGGCTGACAGCTTGCGCGGCTCAGATGGACGTGTTTAAACGTGAGGCCCCGACCTCAGTAGCTAGTGCATCCGTGGGCATGCTAGGATCTTCTTCCCACAGCCTTGGACTTCAGCCACAGTGTCTTTCTTGGTTGAGGTTAACGGTCTTCCTTCTCTTGGCTCAGCTTCGAGGTCTTCCCGACCTTCTTTAAAGCGCTCGATCTGTCTAAAGACTGTTGTTCTCCGTGGGGCGGCACCCCGCCAACTTGATGTAAAGCTTCAGTGATTTGGGAAGATGACCACTTGGGGTTTGTTGAAAATTTGATATTAGCCCGGATCTCAAGATTGCTTTTTGCCATGGTGGATCAGTATGCTTTTCCCCTTTTCTTTTTGAGGGTACCCTAAAGAGACCAAGGGTACTAGTGAGAGGACCCACTGACTGTGCAGACAAGTTTAAACACGTCTATATGGCCGAACTGCAACTCAAGGAGAAATACTTCTTGACTCACCCTCTGAGGTTCAAGCTCTGAGGTTTTAAACTTCTGACAAGGGACGGAGGGGGAACTTTCTACTCATTGCAAGGAAATCCTCACTGAAGTGTCAGCGAGGCACAAGCACTTAAAGCCCACGAACGTCAGCTGGCCGTCCTTAGCCAGTCCGATCTCTACAAGGCACTGGCCCAGGCGCCTGCGCTGGTCGCCCTGGAGCTGAATCCCGGCTCCATATTCTGGGTGCCCAATCACAGTTCCAGTGCAGGCAAGTTTCTTTTTAAAGACCTTCGCTGGTTTCCTTTTTGTCGTCGTCGTCAGCGATGCCTTGGACAGTGGTAAGGGTCTTCCTGCCGTAATGCTGTTGAATTCTTATATGGATCTAATCCTCGGTCCCCAGGTCACCGCCCTTACTGACATTAGCAAAGGGGTCAAAAGACTGGAGGTTCTGGATAGCGGACTTATGATTCGATTCCCCTTCCTCCCGGACATGGCCTGAAGGAGAAGGCGAGCGCAGAGGACTGAGCGTCAGGTAGCAAAGAGGTTCGAAGAGGCTCAAGGAGGAGGATGCAGAAGCATCGGGCAGTTCAGTGACAGGGGCCTGAAATCTTCTTAAAATCAAACAGTTCAGCTTAATTAGCAATGCATGTCTGCCTTGAGCATTGTGCCCATTTAAGAATTATTTACATGGTGCAAAGAACAAGGTCCCTGAGAAGTGTGGCATGAGACTCCCATGACCCCAGGGGAAGTCCTACCCCCGAAGAACACATGTTTACTCTTACCAGTGAGTCTTGAGGGCTCAGGTCTCGCACACACCTCACTACGTGGCCATGGCAGACTGTGTCATGCTTCAGTCAGCGCCGCGCACTCACTGATGTCAGGCGTTGGTCTGCTTCCAGAGAAGAGCAACAGAAAAAAAGGAACAGAGACAAAGCCAAAAGATTCTCTGCAAAGTGATTCCAACAACAAATTGAATAAAAGTTTAAAACAAACTTACAAACCAAGCCTGTTGCCTGTCATCAATTTAATTTCAATTCAAGTGACCCTGATACAAGGTGACTAGATTTTGACACTGGTAAAGCGGGACACCATTGATAAAACTCATATCCTGGTGAAATAGCCACATGGTAGCCGAAAACCATATACCCTAGCTTGTTGTGCATTCTTTCCAAAAATCGAGACTTTTTAAAAATGCCACGGGATGTGGGACAAATTGCTAAAAATCAGGACTGTCCCGCCAAAAGCGGGACGTCTGGTCACCTTAGT